GCTACCAGATGTAGTTTATCGTCGTACCCAGGACGCGTAAACTGAGTACAAATCATAACTAGGAATATATATGAATATAGAGTGTGACATGAAAACATAAAAAGTAAGTCAGAATTGTAATGGTATGGTGGATAGATAAGGATTAACCCTAGACTTGAAGAGATTAAGATTATAGTATCCCGGGTAGCATCCACCTGAGGTTCTGTTCAACAAAGACGTGATTCATGGAAATTTTGTTTCGGAGTGGCACGCCCTTCATACCAAAGGAATATTTAGGTAATGACGATGTTTCAAGTCTGTTGTTTTAGCAAGGCGTGTCTTATCTGAAAGATATATGGTAGGGAAGAATAGAAGTCGTATTAACATTTGTCATGGGAGTAGCGCTAGCCTTGAGACATTGTAAAAGGGTGTGTAGGACGGAAAACGATTTTGAACCTCGTCATGGTTGGAAAGTGAGTATTGAACGGCCCTAGTCCAGATATAACTGTAAAAATGGCCGGCTCCCTGTACCGCTCCATAAAAAAGCTGAATCTTTCTACCGTTTACTCTCTTCATAAGATAGAGAATTCATCGAAAATATATTATTACTATTATATCTGTTATTTGTCAGACATTATGAGTTCAAGCGCCATACGAGGCTGGCATCCCGCTCTCACCCCTTCACTGTCGAAACTCCTAACTGTAGCCGTCTCTTCTACTCCAATAGCTTCATGTCTCGCACCTCTCGCCTGTGGAACTCCCTTCCCTATTCCTGTTTCCCTGTGAGCTATAATCTCCAGCTATTCAACTGTAATGTCAATCGACATCTCCAGTTGCCTTGATCTATCCACTACCCTCATCCTTTCTTCTATCACTCCTGTCTGATCTTGCTCTAAATTTTCTGTAACCCCTTGCGTCCTAGTGGCTTCCCGCCTTGCTAGGGGTGAAAAAAACAAAAAAAAACTAAGGCCGTTCAATACTCACTTTCCACCGGTTGAACAGTGCTAGAGAAAAATGACTTAATGCCCAGCCACTGGTTGAACGGTGGGTAAACACTTGTAAATATTTTTATATCTACCGTGAAACATTGCATACCAATTATTTGCGAATTTTGACTCAGGAGTTCAGGCAGACGTTTTAAAATTGTTCAGGAATGCAGGGCTCAAACGGTTAAGTAGAGAGAACAATAAAATAAAAGGATTCAACATGACAGACGATAACGATTGACATTTCATTTAAAGTTTTCAAATATCAAATTTGATTAGAAAACAAGAAGTCAGAAGAGAGAAGTGAGAAAGAAGAAATTGTTTGTACAGAATTTCAACTTACAGCCACTCTAGTACATTTCAATTGTAAAATAATAAGACCTATCTACCAATCTAGTACTGCGCTTAAATTGATAAAGTCTTGGTACCATAGATTCATCAGAACAATTACCATAAAAGTATTTATAGAAAACGTACAGAGAAGATACGTTACGGCGCTGGGAAAGTAAGTAAAACCGAGATGTCAAATCAGGATCAATAAAATTGCATATTCTTCATTGGATTTTATCTAGAATGCCTAAATATACAGACGGGTCATCGGACCTTATGTTGCAACCATCTTCAATGCATGGAGGTATTGTAGACTTATAAATATGTAAGATAGATTCAGGAGAAAAAGATTGTCCAGCACGATACAGTGTTATGCGAAAATGTGTCAAATATATGATGTGACCACTTGCCTAAATTAATTGATTTGTTTGTTGAACGGCACATCAACTCCTCATGGGTTCTTTAATAAAAAAAAATAATATTCTTGGAAGTTTTGAATATGTTATTCTGCATTCACAACTGAATAGTTGGTAACCAGTATTTTTGCATATGCACCCTTGTTCAAATTAATTGAAACAACCGCTTTAGTTTCCTTTCTTTCACCACACCGTCACTTTTAGACCCACTGGAGTGAAAGGGTGTAAACTATTTCTATTTTTGCCCCAAATTAGGTCATTTGGAGTGGTGTGCAGCGATATGAATCAATTTTCGAGGTTATGATAAAATTTGTTTCGCCTTGAAAAAAATATTCATCACGCCCAGACATATTGTCTCGACTGTCGATTAGTTGTCCTACGGCTTATTGTCTACGAAAATTGTAACGCTGTACGGCCACACTGGCAAGTCTTACCAGTGATAAAATCAAATTTTCTATAGACTGGCCCGGAAACATTCCTGATTTAAATCCAATGTGATTACTCTGCAAGGAACGACTTCGTGGAATAGACATACGCAGTAATAATATATGCACTGAGTCATGTTTCATTTGGAAAATACGAAAAAGTAAATAATATCGGAATTATTCGTTTTGTTTCAATTAATTTGCAAAAAGGTGTAGGTGATCATGGCTCTCCACATCTTCCTATATAATTAAATTGCTCATGGGTGTACTTGTTTGTGTTTACATAATTACTAGAGGCGATAGATGTGTTTTATGTTGTAGTTTTATTGAAGTTATATTTTGTAATGCAGTTTGATTTAAGAAATTTTAGGACATCATATGGATTAATATCATTAAATAGTTTGTTTTTTTTTTGTTGTTTAGTTGATTTTGTTAAGAAGGATATCTACCTTTATGGGTTAATTTATGTCAATATCTCAATATTTTGTACCCAATGTTATGCCCTGAACTAGAGAATATGTATTGTTGGTAATTTTTTTTATATAAGAATGAATTGTTGGTATATTTACTATAAACATGTATTTTTTGTATTTGGAGGATTGAATATTTCCCCATAACATGTGATAAGGAGAGAGAGGTGGATAAGGATAGAGACCTGGAGATAAGGGGAGAGAGAGGGAGGGATAAAAGGAGAGAGGGGGGATAATGAGAGAGGGGAGATAAGGAGAGAGGAAAAGGAGGGTGAAAGATAGGTATATTATATATATATATATATATATATATATATATATATATATATATATATATATATATATATATAAAACAGTTTTAGGATTAACATACTTTTTATAGATACAAATATTTAAGTAAATGCTCTGTTTATAATAAGCAGTATTAAACAACATTTACCGGCCTGAATGTCCGAGAAGTTTTCACAGAAAATATTCGTCCTCCGACAGGATTCGAACCTGTAGATGTACGTGAGAGATTCCTGGAAGATTGAAGTTTAAATAGAGCAAAACCGAACGCTCCTTCGTGGCCAAATCGGTAAGGGCACGTCAAGCTAAATGACGGTTCCGTATAGGATACAGGTTCGAATCCTGTCGGAAGACGAATATTTTCTGTGAAAATTTCTCGGACATTCAGGCCGGTAAATGTTGTTTAATACTGTTTATTATAAAGCATTTACTTAAATATTTGTATCTATAAACAGAATGTTAAACATAAAAATATCTTAAAATAATTGTCGGACTTTGTCCATTTCATTATATATATATATATATATATATATATATATATATATATATATTAATTGTCATAGATTCCGAATGATGATTTTACCAGATAAGCGGGCTTTGTTATTGGAATAGTGGACATGGGAACAACCGCAATTAAGCGGTGGTTCCACGTTCCTCAAGACATTTCATCTTCCGATCAGACGCCTTGCTGCCGGCTGTAGTTTATCGTCATACCCAGGACTAACTAGAGATTTAAAAATTATATATCATATTGATGAGTTGCGTTTTTGTTTTTTGTTTTTTTATTTTGTACACATTTATAGCCTTACCCGTCGTCGAGTAAGTATCAACAACCTGATGTCACGACTATCCTATTGATACTCAAAATGTAAATGCAATGTCATTGGTTATCTTCTGTCTTCTTAATTCCTGTTTGTTTATTCTTCTATAAGCTTTATAGTGACATTTTTTCTATGTCCTCACACTTAATAACCCCTTGGATCTTGCTGACTTTATTGCCTTGCTTAGGGTGAAATGATTAAAAAGAAACATGTAAATAGTATAAATAATTATTGGTATCCACTTATAACCCATTAAAGTCCATTGTTCCAAAAATGAGATGACGGGAAATAATGGGTTAAAGCTAAATAAACCCCTCTTTCTTTTGATACCTTCTATATCGGAATCGATAAAACCAAAGCTAATGATCGCTTTCGGCAAAATACTCTTTGTAAAAAATTAGAAAGTGAACGTTGAAAAAAAAAAAAGCTGTTTTAAGAAATAATTGATTTTTTTTCTAATCTCCAAGGGCATTTTATAATATCGTGTAAATTACTTGTTGGGAAATTTATAAGACGCTTTTATTTTCGTTTTAAAAGCAGAGACGACAATCAAAAGAGAAATCAAGAGCATTTCGATGAAGAGAGGAGACATTAAAACGTAATAAAAGTGAATTTTGACAACGACTGCCGTCACAAATAGAAATGCAGTTTGAGTGAAGCGGCTGGTTCAAATAATGTAGATCGTTAAGACGACAGCGTTTCCGGTCAATTAAAGAGTCCTGTCTTGTAAATTTGATTTTTAATGAAATGGAAGATAAAGTACTTTCGATATTTACCAAACTGTTCTTAGTACTGTAAAAAAAAAGACTAATTGAGATAAACGAAGGCAATGTTCTTCCAATGTTCATGTCGAACAAAGCCCACTTATCTGGTAACATCATCATTCGAAATCTATGTCAGTTAATATATATATATATATATATATATATATATGTCAGTTAATATCTAGCTTTCACCTCCTCTCACTCTCTCCCTATATCCCTCTCTCTCTTTATCGCCCCTCTCTCTCCTTTTCCCCCTCTCTCTCGTTATCTCCATCTCTCTTCCTCCTTATCTCCTTCTCTCTCCTTATCTCTCTCCTTATTTCTCTCTCTCCTTACTTCCCTCTCTCTCCCCTTATCTTTCTCTACGTCTTTATCTATCTCTCCCTCTATCTATCTATCTATCTATCTATCTATCTATCTATCTCATTTAATACCTATATATCTATGACTGTTTGTTAAAAGCTATATACCTATGCCTTTTCTCACTCTCTCCCTCCCTCTTTCTAATCATCTTTCGCTCTATGTCTTTCTCTCTCTCTCTCACTCTTTCTCCTACACCCTTTTTCTGTCTCTCTTTTTTTCTACCACTGTCTTTCAATCTTTTTCTCTCTCTCCCTCTCTCTTTCTCTCTTTCACTCTGTCTCTCTTTTGTCTCTTACTCTTTCTCAACCTCTCTCTCTCTCATTCTCTCGCTCTTTCTCTCTCTCACTCCTTCTCTACCACACCCTTTCTCTGATTCTCTTTTTCTCTGTCTCTCTCTTTCAATCTTTCTCTCTCACTCTTTCTCTCTCTCTCTTTCACTCTGTCTCTGTCTCACTGTTTATCTCTCTTCCTATTTCACTCTTTCTGTCTCTTACTCTTTCTCTCTCACTCTCTCTCTTTCACTCTGTCTCTCTCTCACTCTTTATCTCTCTTCCTATTTCACTCTTTTTGTCTCTTACTCTTTCTCAACCTCTCTCTCTCTCATTCTCTCGCTCTTTCTCTCTCTCCTTCTCTCCCACACCCTTTCTCTGATTCTCTTTTTCTCTGTCTCTCTCTTTCAATCTTTCTCTCTCACTCTTGCTCTCTATCTCTTTAACTCTGTCTCTCTCTCACTTGTTATCTCTCTTCCTATTTCACTCTTTTTGTCTCTCACTCTTTCTCAACCTCTCTCTCTTTCTCAACCTCTCTCTCTCTCTCTCTCTCTCTCATTCTCTTGCTCTTTCTCTCTCTCACTACTTCTCTCCCACACCCTTTCTCTGATTCTCTTTTTCTCTGGTTCTCTCTTTCAATCTTTCTCTCTCACTCTTTCTCTCTCTCTCTCTCTCACTCTTTATCTCTCTCATCATCCCCGTCATCATCATTCCTATGACCGAGTGTGATCGTAGGGCCGCTACGCAATTTGGCACCTGACCATTTCCCTACACATACCTGTGTGCAATGCCGGACAGGTTTTCATTCATGCGTCTTGTGCAAGAAGACCCGGCGACTCTCATCGCTCTCCAGGTAAAAACCACCGCTGACTTCACCGAACTTGAAGACTCGCTTTCATCTCGGACACGTGGCCATTGATTCCATCGGAAGCAAGCTCCGTCCTTGTAGATGAATTCACTCTAAGAAGCCGTCCGCCCGACGATGCTGTGCCATCACAGCACTGGCTCCATCCATAGCTATAGATCCCAGTATAACCCCGTGTGATAAATGGCCGTTGACCCTACAAGAGTATTCTCACAACTTTTGGCAGTGTTTTTTTTTTTTTAGTCAGGCTAGCTATTTGCTACACTACAGGGTGACAGAAAGGTAACTCCCTATTTTATGTATGAGTGACCATCCAGGAGTTTTTTTTCTTTGGGGTTGGTTAAAGGAGCAGGTCTACTATACAAGACCAAGATTTGGAAGAACTTGAAGGGAGAATACAAGAAGTTATGTCTTCCATACCACAAGAGTTTCTGGTGAAATCAGATGACGCGATTCCTGGTCGGCTCGAGAAGCTGGTAGCGAAATCTGGTGCCCATATCGAATTTAAAAAAAAAAAAAAATTCATGCTAAACGTTTTCCTCTCAAATCTATTTCTTGTAAAAATTATAGTTAATAAATGAATTATAAGTATGGGAGTAACTTTTCCATCACTCCCCAGAAAAGCCTGGTGTGGGAACCAGTTTGGTCGCAGGTAACCATGCAGATTATTCAGGTTGGTAGCATTGGCTTATATGATATCAGTAGCTCTCATAGATTGACCTGGCATCATAAAAGAAAGTAGCTTCATTCTTTTTTTCATACTTGTCCCTATTTCTCTTTTCTACAATTTACTTTTTCTTTTACGTTCTTCTAGTATTTAAAAACTTATTTTATATTTTTTTATGCTTTTCTGTCATTTTCTACAACCGTTTTTATTTATTCCCCTTTATTTTTATTTTTTTTTTTATTTTATTTTATTTATTTTATACCCCTTTATTTTTATTTATTTTATTTTATTTATTTTATATTATTTTATTTATTTATTTTATTCCCCTTTATTTTTATTTATTTTATTTTATTTTATTTTATTTTATTTTCTTTCTTTTCTTTTATTTTATATTATTTTATTTATTTATTTTATTCCCCTTTATTTGTATTTATTTTATTTGATTTGATTTACTTTATTCCTTTATTTTTATTTATCTTATTTTATTTTGTTTATTTTCTTTTCTTTTATTTATTTTCATTTCTTTTATTTATTTTCTTCTATTTTATATTATTTTATTTATTTATTTTATTTTATTTTATTTTATTTATTTTATTCCCTTTATTTTTATTTATTTTATTTCATTTATTTTTTTTTATTTTCTTTTCTTTTATTTAGTTTTCTTTTATTTTATATTATTTTATTTATTTATTTTATTTTATTTTATTTATTTTATTCCCCCTTTATTTTTATTTATTTTTATTTTATTTATTTTATATTATTTTATTTATTTATTTTATTTATTTTATTCCCCTTTATTTTTATTTATTTTATTTTATTTTATATTATTTATTTTATTTATTTTATTCCTTTATTTTTATTTATTTTATTTTATTTGATTTATTTTATTTTATTTTCTTTCTTTTCTTTTATTTTATATTATTTTATTTATTTATTTTATTTTATTTTATTTATTTTATTCCCCCTTATTTTTATTTGTTTTATTTCATTTATTTTATTTTATTTATTTTCTTTTCTTTTATTTAGTTTCTTTTATTTTATATTTACTTATTTTATTTATTTTATTCCCCTTGTCTCTATTTTATTTTATTTTATTTTATTTATTTTATTTTATTTTTTTATTTATTCCCCTTTATTTTTATTTATTTATTTTATTTTATTTATGTTATTTTGTTTCATTTATTTTCTTTTATTTTTTTTCTTTTATGTATTTCGCTTCTTAACTTCACACTATTTTATTTATTTATCTTTTTTTTTTTTTTTGTTATTTGTCTTTATTTAAGACCTTGCTTTCTTTCGTTTCTATTTCATAGGAATTGAACTACGGGACAACTCGTGGATAAAAAAGTTGATTTGTTAAATTTGGCGTTATAGTGGTTGTGAGTTCAATCCCTGTGTCAGGTCGTGTGTACTTTTACTCAGCGATCAATAACAGAATACTACTAAATAAAAATAAGAACTAGACGATATCTTCAGACATGAGCAATGGGACGAGAACAGTCTACTCCCGTAGATTAAATAAAGGGTTCAGTTCAGAATTCCCAGCAGGTCATCCAGATCTATACATACACCTGAGGATGACCGAAGGCACAAAAGCCGAAACAACAAAGATGAGGAAAATAGTCTGAATGTAAATAGTGTAAATAATCCTTTCTTTCTTATTTCATGTAGTTTTACTTAATTTTATTTTTCAAGAATATTTTTTTCTTTTCTAGAACTATTTCTCCGTTTTTTTTATATTTTATTTTTAAAACATCTTTTCTTTCCTTTGAAAATTCTTTCTTTTTTTCATCATTTTCTTCATTCTTTCTCTCTGTCGCTCGTTCTTAGAGAATTATTTTTATGACACTATTTTTCTTTCTTTTCTTCATTCCCTATTTTTTTTTTGTTTAAATTTCGTTCCAGATACAATTCTTCTTCTTTTCTCTTTCCTTCTTAACGTGTAATTTATCATCCAATTTTTAATATATTCTCCTTCCGCATTATTTTCTTGTTTTCTTCCTTTCTTACCCTAAATATATTCATTCCATTTGTTTTTCAAAAAGCACTTTCCTTTCGCTTTTTTCTTTCGCTTTAATTCTTTCTGTCTTTCATTCTGTTGATTTTAATAACCTCTCAATTTTTATTCTGCTTCTCGATCCGACGTCAACGATTCTGGCAATCAACCAACATTTACGGCTGACTGATTGCTTGAGATATTAGAATAGTCTGGGACATGGCCAACGTGGATAGAATATCCTTTGGAAGTAAACGCTTACAACCCTACCTAACTTGCCTTATCTACATGATGAGGCGGCCATATTGGTATTTAATAAGATGAAATTAGTCGCAAGTGCATTGCCATGAGTAAAAACCAAACTCATTTCAGTTCTGGCTACAAAAACATGGCAAGGACAGTAATAATAGTAGTTTGCAAAACGAGTTTCCTATAAATGAGCCAGAGAAATGCCCTAATTTTTTTAAATGTTCTTACTACCTGTTCGTTTGGGCACAGTCTAAATTGTTGCGGGGCGTCAAGCAGAAAAATTTATATAGGGTAATACGATCGAAGCAAGGACAACCAAAAGGTGAGGATTTCAAAATGTAAGCTAAATTTTATTCATCAATCTGGTCGAAAGTATGTACAGGAACTGTTTGGAGTAGTTCAAACGTGAAGTCGGTGAGTGCCAATCGAAGGATCGTTTTGGTTCAGGGCGGCAGCTCAGAGGCAGGCAGATGGAACAGCTGTATCCGAGGTCCAGTCAATCCTTGCATGTTCGCCCTTAAGCGGACCGCGTCGGGGTTCAGGAAGAGAGACGATCGGCGTAGGCAGTGCTGAGGTAGCCTGTCTGTCCTTAGGAAGATGGTTGCATAAGAATGTGAGTTGGTAATGCTTGGAAGGGCTATCGCAAGGGTCGGCAACCTACGGCCCGCGGGCCGGATCCGGCCCGCGAGCCTGATTACCAATGACTCTATTTTTAACATGAGAGACGGAGCTTTCGAATTAGACTATCTGCCAGTTATATTTCATGAGACTTATTTTACCAAGTTGCGTTGCCTACGTTTAATGTCAAATAATGGATACATAAAAGATAACAGAAGCAAAGGGAACGATAAAGTGAAAGAGGCCAGGGAGGGACTGACACATGAGGAAGCAGAAATCTAAAGACAGTTAAACATACGCGCATTATACATACATGCCTCATGAATGTGTGGATGATACCGCATGTGTACGTACGTAAGTGTATAAGTTTGCAACTATTTGTACTCTTATGTATGGGTATATGCGCTTCGTGTGTGTGTGTGTGTGTGTGTGTGTGTGTGTGTGTGTGTGTGTGTGGTTTGTTTGTGGAAGAATTTTCAATAACAGTTTCAAACCTACACGTCATAATTTCATCCATTTCACTTCGGTTGATTTTTTTCACTTTGAAGTATTTTGTCGTTCCTTGAGGAAAAGTAATTTTTGTTAGGAGTTTTTAATTTTAGATTTTCTTTTGTTTTTCTGATTTCTCAATGTTTATTTTCATTATGGTTTTAAATATTTAGGTTGACAGGGGTATGTATATGTAATTTTCCTTAATTTTTCATTAATGACCTTTGTCGGCCCGCGACCCGTCATTATAACACGATCCGGCCCGCGGGATCGAATGAGATGCCGACCCCTGGGCTATCGCATAAGAATCTGGCTTGGGCTGCTGCTGCTGCGATCGGCTACAAGACTGGGTGCGGCTGGCTTCACCGGTGGTGGCAGCTGCGTCTGCTGCTAAGTTTGGGTTCTTCAGTGGTCAGCTCTACCCCGGAAACGTCTTATTGGTGGAAGAAATCGGCTGGCTTTTGTCTTGGCCGCGGTTAGGCACCGTTGCCTGGTTAACAACATTTTTTGGTTGTCGACTAAAAATTACCTTCAACGTTTTGAATGTACACATGGGTTTCATTTGGACACCATCTGTATATAAATTAGTTTCTGGTCATTATTTTTAGTTAGGAGGACTTGTGTATGTTTATGTTTCATTTTTGTGTTTCGATTTCTAAAAACGCTGAGTCACCGGAAATTAACGGCATTCGTTCTGTTTTCCGTGGTGACGCTTTCAGACGTTTGAGTAGCCGGCAGTAACTGCCGGCCGGGTGCGATAAAATTATTGAATGCTGCGACAATATATAAGAATATATGAAAATAATACCATTTTCTTAAAACGTATATGAGAAGTAAAGAAAAAA